AGTTCACGTGAGGCCTAATTTTTGAGTAAAGATTGGTATACTTCGCGGCCTACTTGATTCCTTAGGAATTTGTTGGGGCTGCTAACTCTCCATCTATAAAATAATGAAATAGAAATGAAATTTCTAATACGTGATTCACATTTTTGCTAAGCATTGTATATCAGTGGTATTCCAGATGTCTGACCCGATAAAGAAGAGCGAAACTTTGAGATGCTGCCGATTGTTTCATGTTCGAACTTTGGCCATCGTCATTGCATTACTCGAAGTCACTTTCCTATTATATCAGGTTCGCGTTAAATACCTTGAACTTCGTCGATTTCTCTTGAAAAGGCGAACGATAATAATCTTAGAGGTGACTCATGTTTAAGACCTCCATCAAGAGTTGAACGAGTTCATTCGAAGAAACCAGAAGTGATTCCCATCACATGATTGTACTTTCGCTCACTGAAACTGGGCATCTTCCTATTTTATTGGGCACAGTTGTGGTTTGAGTGAAAAAATTTTCCCAACTGGTGTCTTGTGATTGCCTCTTTAGGTTGAGTGACGGGTTTAATAGCATGTCTCCCATGCCGGTACTGTGCAGAGCCATCAAACCATCTATCCGTTGAGCGAAACACTCATATGAAGCCGATGAAACTACTCCTCATATTATTTCTCCTAGCTAACGGCACTTAGGTTGGCGTTAGTATATGTTAGCCGCCATGAAGTAAGTCCGTTTGATTGACGCATAGCTTCCTTATAACTGTAGATAATCCGAGATTTGGAGAGCGAGAAGTTTTACCTGCTGCAATTCATGCCTAAGCGTTGGGAAATGACCGGAGACCCGAATGAAATGAAGTGACCGAATGACCCAGGTGTTGAAAAAGTCTCAGATTGTCCTTTCATTGATGGTCGTTGTGGATCTCGTCACGAATTTATACGACCACGGTCATCACTCGCATTCATTTTATTGCATACCATACATCCTGTGCAGCTAAGGAACCTGAAGCCAAGTGAGCTGTTCGGCCAACGTGGAAGCCAGGAGAAAACATTGTCTCTTGCCAGTGTCTTGGGAAATCATATCCTGAAGATGGATGAGTACAGTCAGAATTGGCTCTCGCTCGTTCTCCTTACATTATGGTCAATTTGAGCAGCGGTGGCTGAGCACGGCTCAAGCTGATCCCTGTTTCTCACCACCAACTTCGCAGTTGCCAAAGCGAACTACTCGCGAGTGGTAGTTACTCCAACATGATGTGGAACTGCTAAGTTCGTACATTCAGGTATTTTCCCTCACAAAAGATCATTTTCCATTACACGGAATCATTCACAAAGGACAATGCTTAAATCGGGTGGAGCTAAGCGCTGGCTACGATACGCGGAATTATTCCGAATCGCTGATTTCTCTCTATGATCGACTCGTTTTCATCCGAACTTAATTCTTTGGATTTGCCTGCACTCGTTCTACTCATTGCTACCCATCTAAAAATTTTGAGCGGAGCCCTCAGAAATACTGTTGTGTTCCCAGTAAACGTGATAGTCGGATATAGGTAGAAGATAATATCTTCGACGTTAAGCAATCCCGTCTCAGGGATGCGCCCCCATGCGACTTCTATTTAAAATCATAGTGGTGTATTGAATGTGTATGTGGCGTATACAATGACTTGCCGATGTACAAGTCAGTGCTTTTGTTTCCCCAGACGAGTCTGGTACCAATTAACCGATGGTGATGGAAGCCTTGGTTGACTTGGGAGTATCAGATCGTGATTTTTAAGATATAACATATTTGTAAAACGCGGAAATTTCACACATCATCATGTGCAGATTGTGGATTGAGTGAAGGCTTTTGCGATGCTTCCTGCCTTTACCGAAAACCTTACTAAGGCAGCTTTTCCTCGAAAAAAAAAATCCATTCTATTTCTCATCACAATACATGGCACAGCAATACTCAGAGGTTTCGGTTAGCATGAAAACGTTATTCTGCTTTGCTGTGGAAAATAGCGGAACAGTGGAGCACAATGGTGCCAAAATTATATTTTCAGTAAGATAGGATCTCCTGCATCCGCACTTTGCCAAGTTTCTCTATTTTCAGAGCGTTGCTGCAATTTCACACATGCTCTCACCACCGTCGTCTCACCAGGGTCTTTACATCATGGTGTTCACGCTCGCAGTACTGGTTGCTTGTGTGGCTGTATCGCTTCTGTTTGTTGGCATCTTCTGCCATGTACCTGTTTTGTTGATACCCCATATGCTTATGCAGGTAAGACGACCTAGTGAGTACCATTTGGGAGGAAAAAGGGTGTAAAACGTGAAATGGAAGTGTTTTACGGATAGTTGCGCACGCTCATTTAAGTGTGGACGATGACTTCCGTACATCACGAACGCAATCGAAAAAGCTTGTACGCATGTTAATTCCAAAAAAAAGATTCGCCATGAGAAAACTGGGTGCGCGGAAATCCTCATTAAGAAATTCGAACAGATTCTGGAAGTTTCTTCGGTTCTTCCCTCCTAGCAGGAAGGGGTGCAATACATGAATACTCAAAACTACTCTCCATCGCATTGTTAGAAATGTTCAACGGATTCCTGACCAAAAATGTTGGGTTGGACCTTCGTCCAAAAGGTGCGACCAAGAAAAGTTCCCACGAACGCCAATAATGTCATACATTCGAAAGAAGGAGCAAGTGAAGGGGATTCGGTTTTTTTTTTTGATTTTAGCGAAACACTATTGAATTGCTTGTTTAATAGGGTTAGAAATGCCTACCTCATTAGACGTTGTCTGAATTGGCAATTCAAGTGTATTATGTGGTGTAAAGAGTTCGAGAGCTGCGCTAGTTGAGGTTCTGCTAGTTTCAGGTTCTATTTGTGCTTACTCTACTCGGTATGGCTTCATTTACCGTATACACGCTGTTCGCGGGCACCTCGGTTCAACTCAGGATTGCCGTTGTTGGAATGGATGACGACGTTACACAGCAGGTTTGTCTTTGAAAATAAATTTCAATGCTGTTACAATCCACCGGTAAGACGAACTATTTCAAAAGCAGCTGTCTTTGAAAGAAACAAAGGGAAACCTCTGAGTGGACAGTTAAATGGCTTCGGTGGCATTTAGAAAAAGCCGCTGCTTTCATTTCGAGTGTGATTGCTCCAGTTCTTCTTATACCACTTTCTTTTGGAGTCTTCTGTCAAACTGCATTGCTGTGATGACTTCATAGGCAGTCTTAAATAGACCTTGAAATGCGTAGTCATGTAAAGAGAATTGGCATATACGGGAGGCTTCAGGCTTACGAGTGTATCCCAAGTTGGCACGATCGTGATAGCGTAACAAGCATCTGGTATGAGGAGCTACTTCATCAGACCAAACAGCACAGCCGAGTTCGATCCTTCGCCCCGTAATATCTGCCCTCATGCCGAGTATCGCGCCGTTGATAGCTAAATCCACAGGAACGTTAATTCAGTCGCTTGAGTGAAAGCAGATGCTGTGTAGTACATTGAACATCCCTCAGATATAATTTTGTGCAGTGTGCCATCAGTCGTGAAGAATGTGATTTCAACCAGAACTGTACAGCACGGACTATTAAAATCGATACCACGAGTAATGAGAACCTTTGAAAGCTCGACCTGGCATTTTTGTATGACAGTGGAACAGCCATATCAGAAAAACGGCTAGAAAGCTTAGTTGCTCTGATGTTTGATACAATAGCACAGCCCAGAAGTAAAGTTCTGATAGTAGTCTCTTATTATTTGGAACATTTATTACAACTATTTCATATCATAAAACCCTAATTTGCAAGTATATATCCCTGAGACTAATATCACTGCTATGCATACAGTCGAAGATGATGCTTGAACCAACTGTTCTTTCCTGTTTCTATCGACGCCTACCTCATGCATATCCTCAATTCGCTAGAGTCATGCTGGTTAATCTGCTCTTTGTATTTGAATGATTTCTAACTAACTCAATGTCAAATGCCGTCTACCCAGTAAAACACCAGCGTGGATTAAATGAGTTCAAGAAAACCACGAAAATTTGGAGAACCCCATGAGCGATACAGTATTTTTCAGAGTTTGTTGAACACTTCATCGTTCAACCTTTCCGTAGTTTCTGGTTTCCTCACGGGTCTATTGATTTTGATTGTTGTCGCCTACTTCGCGGCCGCTCTTATTAATGTGAGTTCAGGTTCAGTTTTTCTACCCATAAATTTTATACTTTCTTGGTAGTTAATTTTGAACTAGTCTGCTTGCGATTCTTTTTTTTTTTTCGTCGAAAGCATAGTTTGTTTGGGACGGCTACTAACTGACTGTAATTCATGCTCGAGTAAGAGCTTAAATTGAACTGAATCTGTCGTATTCTTTTCCAGATTTGGTGTTTCAATGTGGTCATGGACTGCTATAGATGGCTGGGTTTCCGCCTCGAAGAAAAAAGTCGAGCTCTGGGCCGCAACGATATCCCGATCTCACGCCTGGACGGCAAACCCCCGGTCGCTGTGATCCATGCCACCGATTTCTGATTTTCCTTTCCTTCTAGCTGTACATTCTGGGTCCGTCGATTCGTGCCATTCTGTAAAATTTGCTCTCCCTTGTTTCGTGCCTGAAGTCAACTTGGACTACATCTATTAGGTATAGATTTGATTTGATGTGCTGTATTGTAAGTACGGGTGTAAATGTACGCTATGAATGTTTATATTAACATCCTTTCCACTTTATTTTAATTTGCGTTTTGGCTCAGCTTTAAATCATTCCGCACAATAATCTTCATACACTTCCTTCACATTCAAATGATGTACATGATCACTCAGAATCCTTGTCTTCATTTCGAATGATGTTAATCGAAAGGCCTCCGAAAGACACAGTACAAAAGGGGAGCCAACTTCGGTTTCTGAGGACATTTGAATACTCAAATTTTCTAAAAAATCACAAAATCCTTTGAACTGCTGGTTCAATACCTTCCAATGAATAAATTAGAGAATTCTTACTGATGGAAAAAGGCCATGGGCCGGCACACATAATTACTAAAAGTACGAAGAAAGTATGCACCCGCACGGGAGACGGGCAGTAGGAACGATTTTATGTAATCGATTCGCCGCACGCGGACCATCCGTTCGCCGTTATTACATGTCTAGCGTTCTTCCTACCGCTCAATCGATATGCGATCATTATTTCAGGCATGTTTCTGCTGTTAGTTCTTTTGTTCCTGTATTTCTTAGTTGCTGCTCCATTCTGCTATATTCCTTCGCGCGCGGAGTTCCTCACGCTGCGACTCAACAATTTCGTTCTGCACCACATCCCATCCGCACTGGTGGTGATAGTATGTCCCACTTGATGAATGTGCAGCTCATCATGGTAACTTTTTTGGGGCTTCCGTAGTTTCGAATGACATCATTTATGGATAGCGGCCCAACGTTTCGACGAGATTGCCTTCTTTAGAGGTCTGAATATAACTCGAGATTATCTGTTCGCAATCGAACAGTACCTCACTCCCTTCTAGCAAATCCAATGGCATGCCTGAAGCTCATCATAAAAGTACTTCCAATCTGGGAAGAACCCAGCAAGTTACACCATTTGGGGAACAAATCAGTCACAGACGGAAGATTAGTAGAGAAAATAAGTGGACTTTCTCTCCCTTCCTTAAATTCATGTAAAAGATAATAACAGAGACGAGAACGAATCCCGCTAACTCACCTTTCACAATGCGGTTTGTATGGCAGAGGATCAATAGTTATGGAGGAACGTTCATCATCTCTAACCATTTTAGGTATTTTTCGAAAATTCATGCACTTCAGATGTTCTTCTTGCTGAAGTTTTCGCCTCCAGCTCAGATATCAGACACATTAACTCCTAACTCGAAGAGCTAAACAGCTTTCCTGTCTTCTCTATTTAGGATGTTATACATCTCTGGCAATCTACCCAGTGCATCACGCCAGTACCGGTATGGAATCAACTGTTTTCCGTATAGACATATGTATGATACAATCATTAATATCGCGCTGCTCATTGTATAGCCGATTTCGTACTAACTGCGTTGATGTTGTTAGGGCTGCTCACTGAACCTTTAACAGGTTGTAGATCAACTCTGAAAATGTTGCGCTGCAGTGAAGTGATAACTTTGTCGTAGATCAAAGAAATACATAGGGGCAGATCGATTTGGTGCGCGGTGCGGTGAATGTTAGTGCGTTGCATGCCGCGGCACTGTGATACCGTGTGACCATTTACATCAACTCAAAATCTAAATTCACCATTCGTAACGTTCGCCTTCACCCGAGAAGGGCAATTTAGAAGAATGAATCGGTAAACGTTCATCAAGTGATAAATTCTACTAAATTAGGTGAGAACTGGATTATCTTCTTCTCTGCAACCGTTTTGTAAATTTTCCTTGTACCAGATTGAATGAACTTGCTTTTCAAGTACTATTCTACTGATAGTGCTATACAGGAATAGCCTTAACATGGTGCCGATATGGAATAGATGACTAATACATAGAAGCACCACGACTATGCAGGTATGAGAAATTAGTTCCTTGAACTTTATCTTCTTGTTTGTGTATAGTTTCTTGAACTTTATCTTCGTTGTTTGTTTAAAATCACAATTTGGTTTTAAGTTTCAGACTGACAGGTTGTTGCATTCATTCTAACGCATAGCCTAAGTATTTTAGTAATATCCAATCATAAGCGATTGACCTCGCCTGCTGTTTTACGCTTTTTCTTTCATTCTTTTTTCTTTCCTTTATTTGTTTCGGCTCTTCTTTTTGTTTTTTCTGCTTTTCCTAATTTTCAGTGACTGGGTAAACTGTTCCTCATTGATTTCTCCTTTTTTCCTTCCTCTTTTACTTCTATTATACCTTGTTAAATTTTCTAGTTTATATTTTTATAGTTGCTCTTCTCATACTGCAACATTTTATTAATCCTCTCCTTCCATTCTTGCACCCAATTTTTTATGTTTATCTAAAAATTTTCCAAGGCTGACTGTGTTAATGCAAGTCAAGCATGGCACGAGGGTCGACTGTTGGCGCCTCCAGTCTTCGGGGTTCTTACAGGGAAAGCCAACCCCTAGCAGCAACCCTGCCAATCCGTCAGGGACTCCTCTCAAGGAGCACCCGGAAGCTTCGATACAACGGTAATAAAATAAAGTCAAACGCACTATCATATTTTAACAGTAAAGGTCAGTGGAAAAGCCAACGGCTCTTATACGAAACTTCGGTTACACAGAAAATAGTGGAACTTGTTGAGGGCATAGGTATTGCAACACAAATTGCAATATGAACTTAAGAAGGAAGGCTCAGGAGAGCAAATTATGACTTAGGAAGACCCGCGCCGACCCCAACATCTGCCACCTAGAAAGCCTTCGCAAACTCCTACATCGACCACACAGAACGTTTAACAATCGACCAGGGAGCATCCTTTATCACAGTGGGCATTCTATGAACTTTGAACCCCGACCTCCATGAGGGGTATAAAAGGACAGCAGCGTCCCGGTCGGCGTTTATTTTGATGGTGTTTATTTTTACTTTTTGTGTGTTCTAGCTGTCCTTTTTAAGCTTCTACTCGACGCATAACTGAGTTGAGATCATGTTACGCTTTTTATTACTTGTTGACTTAAAGTGTTAGTGAACCACTGTGAACCACCGCACTTTTGAGAGAAGATACTTCACTCGAATCGCGTCCGAAAAGAGTATTCGATATCACTCAGGCAACTTGGCGGTTACAGTATTATATATACAAATATATATAGCAACTTCTTTGGTAGGATTGTAATATTACTGACACCAATAATTATAACTACTCTTGGGTAACAGGATTACTTCTTAATACACACAAAGTTAAAAGTTCAAATTGTAATATTTAGGATGTTATAAATTGTCTAACTTGTATACCGTATGGTCTACAATATGTAGGGATGACTATTCGACATTTTATAGGAAAAATAGAACATTTATAACACACTATATTACCGATCATAAAAAGAAGACACTATTGTATGATCATTTTTTAGAGTGCAAAGAAGGGTTTATTGTAAACATTTCAGATTAACTTCAGGGAATGAAAAGTCTATGCACTCAGATAATAAATTGTTTGGATTAGACTTCTCACGACATCATACCCTTTTGGCTGAACGATATTATCAGAGGGCATAGCAAAATAGGCAACATACCAACATCTAATGTATTCAAAAACAACTTTCCCATTTTTCCATTTGAAAATACCAAGCAGAGATGAACGAGTATTAATAAAAAGAAGAAGAAAAGAAATGGAGTATGATAGACTTCTGAAGATTCCACGGAAGATCCCAGTGAAAGATATTAAACACTTGATTAAGCTATTTTGTAAAAGCGATTCTATAGATAATGTATAATAAAGTTAAATTGTTGATCTTCACTATACTACCTCATCTTCAGTGATAATAAGGGAAGAAAGTCAGCAAGTTCTGCCAAAGCGATGTGATGATGACAACTACTTTTCACAATTTGATTATATTGGAGGAAACCCATACTATAAGCAAAATTCCATGGGAAAAATGATTAATTCTGGCTATGTAAAGCTTGCCTAGCAGGCCTTAGGTATATAATGTCAAAAGGTACCAAATACAGAATACACATGAAGCTATTAGCAGGAAAATATAAAATAACTGTATGAGCGTACCACTTCAAGAATCCCAGAGAACATACCAACTAAAAAGTCAAACTTCTGCGTAAAGAAAAATAAAACAAATGAGTTAACAGAGTTGAAATGTTATGCAGTAAATCAAGAACTGCATTTCTCCAAAGTTTAACCAACTTTAACCAAAATTACTATTATTGGCATCAAAAAGTGACAAGAGGGCTAAAAGAAAAATGCCAAAACAAGTTCATCTTTTGCACACTAGACAAAGTTAATAGTAACATTTATGGTATCATTTGCAAAGCTATACCTTGTGGTTTTTTTGAACGAAGTCTGAGTATCTATAACAAAAAAAACAAAGTGTGGGAATATAATAATGCTGGTTATATGTATGCACGCGTACAAGACAAATGAAGACCAACTTATTGGGAATCTTAAATCTCTGGCGATAAAATCACAGCATACCTTTACTTTTCTCAAAATCGTTTCAATAATTATATAAGTGAGTGAAGGAACGTAATAACACAATCAAAGTTTAATGAGTCATTAACAATATCATTATTAGCCAGGAGTTAAGTAATCTAAAAGGTGATAACTCAAAAATATACACAGCAGATTTCGTAGATATGTTTACTGACTTACAACAACCTTATTTTTAGTAGTATCAGAGAGTTATTAGATTTATGTTACAGGAATGCTAACAATGATGATAGCTACTGATCGATATAGCCTTTTATACAGCGGGAGACCATAGAAAAAGTAATTACAGGTTTTACACCAGCCACAAAGATCTTTTATGTCTGGTAAACTCTTCGAACAACAGCTGTTGTAGATTTGATGACACCGTGTTTGAGCAAAAAAAGTTTCTCAAAGGGAAAAGTTGGACAAGAGTAGGTATGAAAATGGCTATAACCGTT